TTATTTATTTTAATTCTAACCAATGAGCTAGGAGTAGGCTGGCCAACTGTCCACTATTTGAGTGGACAGTCCACTATTTTGGGTTTCTGTCCACTAAGAATTAAGACCAAATAGTGGACATTGAATTACCCAATATTCGATTTTAAGAAATTTAAAAGAATTTTGATAAAAACAACGAAAATTATTATTAAATATTGTTATTTTCTTATTAAAAATGAAATAATTTATTATTAGTAGGTACTAATAATGTTCACATATTAGTGTACATATTGAAATATATCGTTGTTTATAAATATATATATTTATCAACCAGTTGTGGAAGCTAAGATTGACCTAAAAATAGAGCAAAAAATATGTCCACTATTTGTCCACTATTTTAGAGCAACAATATTGCAATTGTCCACTATTGAACATTTTTGAGTTGGCCACCCTAGCTAGGAGATATGTACAATTTTAGAGCATTTTACTTTTTTAAAGCTGTATATTAATATACAGAGTGACAAATATGTGAGCGCAAATTTTTCTTAGTAGAGTACCACCGGTATAGTCATGATAGGTAGTGTTAATTGCAAATTATTTTAAAAGAATAATCATAATCAACTAATTAAGTAGTTAATTATAAGTTTATTTTTATTGTTTAACAAACTTACTTTATATTAGGAATGCCCAAAAAACCTATGATTCAATGTAAACTCATGCAAGTTTACATAGTAAAAATAAACTTAAATCGAACATAGAGCATTCCTACTTTATATTATTAATACTAGTATTACCAATTTGCAAGTAATGTGCGACCAACACTACCTATCATGACTATACCGGTGGTACTCTACTTACGAGCGAACGGTATGAGCTTGTCGACCGATATTTTAATAAAAAGCCACTAATCATGTAGTTCAGGCCAAATAAAAAATATAAATTGAATATCTCGGGCTGATAGCCATAAACGACCGAGATATGGCAATTTTAGTGATTCCGCGTATACGGCGTATAGCATTGAAAAACGGTGTTTCACACAATGCTTGGGCCAATCACCAGTACTGCATTGCTATACGCTGTATGGGCGCGATCACAAAAATGGCCATATTTCGGGCGTTTATGGCTATCAGCCCGAGATATTTAATTTATATTTTTTATTTGGCTTAAACTACATGATTAGTGGCTTTTTATTAAGATATAAGTCGACAAGCTCATACCGTTTGCTCGTTAGAAAACATTTGAAAAAAATTAATTAGAAAATTATGATATTTGTTAAATTATCATAGTAAATAAATTGTTTACAATAAACAAAAATAATTATCATTGCTTATTACACGTTAAATATTTTTTTTAACCACAATTCAGATATGAATAATGTGGTTTATAAGATAAGCAAAATTAAATATTGTTATTTATATTATCGATAATCCATTGGATGTGATACGAGACCCGAACAGCGGTTTCCTCGTACTGTTCAATGTATGGCAGACACGGATTACCATGTTTTGTCATTCCGGCCGCGTCTACACCGATTAGTACAGCCACACCGTTAACGAACTGTATTATTGGTGAACCAGAATCGCCCTAGTGCACATTTAAAGAAAATATATAATTATATACCGAGAATGGCATTTTAAGTACTTAGGAATTGCCTGAAATACACGCTTTATTTTGAAGTACAGTTAACTCTCAGTATACAATAAATGCGTTTTTATAACATTTAAACTTAATTAACTATAAAAATTTATAAATATTTGTTCAATGTTTTATATAACATGTATGTGTTACATGTATGTTTTAACGTAAAAACTTGTTTTACAAAATCTATGTGTTTAGGTATTTAGATACAAAATTGAGATCGCAACGGATGGGGGGGGGAGGGTAGGAGAAATTTAATAAACTCCAATATAAAATTTGTGACATACTTTGCAAGTGGCGGTTCCCGACGGAAATGGAACGCGTTTAAAATACATGGCAAAATTGGACTGCATGGTATCATTGGGATCTGAATAGGCTTTCAAAATTTTAGTCCAACCCAAGCGTTGAATTCCCGCACCCGTCCAGTTCTCGTTCTCGTGGCCAAAACCGTTTAATAGCGCGTACTCTTCATTCGCGTTGAGCGCCATTTGTTGGGGTAAACAAATCGAGTTAATCCCAGTCTTACCCGACGTGCCGTCCAATGGTATAGCGGTGTTGAGTCGGATTAGACCCAAATCCCAGGGCCGGTGTTGAGTGCGCTCGTACTCGGGATGAACGAAATACTGGCCGCTAGTATAGTACGGCTCGTTTGTAACCGTTTTGTTTGTTAGCCCCGGATATACGCGAATATTAGTGGCGGCACAGTTTGGACCGCAACTGAAATTTAAATTAATTATTATATTGAAATATGGTTAATAATATACTTAAATACTGTGCAACCTCTCTTGGGGGAACTACTCTTAGGGGAACACCTCCTTTAGAGAAACGGATTTGAAATATATTTTGGATTTTGTATACCTATAACTAAACCTCCATATAAGAAACATTTTGGCTGTACATCTGCCCGTTCCCTATGGAGAGGTTGCACTGTATACAGTAGATTAACCGGTATAGTAAAACGTGTTCTGTGTATTTTATAAATACAGTGCAACTTCTCCATAAGGAACGGCCAGTTGCACGGCAAAAGTGTTCCCTATAGGAAGGGTTCCTCAAAGAGAGGTTCTGTTATAGATATAGAAATTTCAAAATATATTTCAAATCCGTTCCTCTAAAGGAGGTGTTACCTTAAGAGAAGTTCTCCCAAGAAAAGTTGCACTGTAATACATACTATAATCCGTGAGCACACGTTAATATCCATCGCTCGTTCAGAATTACACCACTAAAACTGCAATATATTTATCAGTGATAAACAGTATACTGTATGTGATAAATTATCACATACAGTATACTGTTCTATGTGTTATTAAATTTTTAATATAACTGACCTTCCTAAACTATCGGTGATATATACAGTCCACGGCGTCTCTCCCCTCTGTACTACCCGTCCGTTTTGAATGCCCGCAAACATTGTATCACTAGATGTATGGTATGTGAAGCACGTGTTGTTCATTAGAATCCCTTTCCTCCCGACTCCACACCCGGTAGTCGTTATATTCTCATAGAAATGGATTCTCACGTGACTTCCATTAATACATGCACTTAACGCTAAAATTGATATTCATTTCAATGTAAACATTAATTCATTAATTAAACACAGTTCTTACTTATAATGAGTTCTAAAATTGCAATTTTATTCAATGAATACATTTTGTTTAATAAATATAGTAAATAAAAATCATAATATATTTTAACAATAGAAAGAAGTCTATTTTACGCAATAATTAATAAATCATAAAATAAATAATTGATTTGTAGAAACTTATATCGTATTCAAAGTATTTGAATATAATGTTCAAATATATAATTTCATGCGAGTATATTATTCGTTACTGTTGTCTCATATTAATGATCATGTGTAATTAATCATATTCATAATATTTTGCATTAAAGTTTTATTAAAGTAAAAAACAAATGTAGATTACAATTGCAAAACTCATTTGCGTAAACAAAATATATTAATTAAACTAGATTTTAATAGTATATTTAATATTGACCATCATTAAAATACAACATTAATAATTACACGACTATTAAAACAGTTAAATTCTACGTTACAAAACCATCATAATTCAATATAAACAACACTATAATTTAGCCCAAAACCCCACCCCTATAGACACCTATTGATATTATAACGCATACAATATTAAGCGTTATAACTACTGGCCGACACATTACCGCCCTTACCAGTCCAATTAGTGTGCACCCATTTACCAGGCTCATCTAGCCGCTCGTAGGTATGGGCGCCAAAATAATCGCGTTGGGCCTGGATCAAATTAGCGGGCAATACCGGCGACCTGTACCCATCAAAAAATGCCAACGCCGTAGCGAAACAAGGTGTGGGTACACCGCGTAGGGCAGCGCCGGCCACAGTACGGCGCCAGCCGTCCTGACACTTATGCACTTCGTCGGCGAAATAGCGGTCGACCAGTAGGTTAGCCAACTCGGGCTGACTGGTGAACGCCTGCTTAATGTTGCCCAAAAAGGCCGACCGTATAATACACCCTCCCCTCCACATCAACGCTATGGCCCCGTAGTTCAGGTGCCACGAGAACTGTTGGGCCGCTTCCCGGAGCAGCATAAAGCCCTGGGCGTACGATACGATTTTTGACGCGTATAGTGCCTGCACACAAAATTATTATATTACATTGATTAAATTAAAATATATTGTTGTTTTGAGTGATGTGCGCATACTTTACGTATATCGTCGATAAACTGCCGACGATCGCCCGTAAACTTCTCTACCGCCGGGCCCGCGAGCACTTGCGATGCGCTGACCCTCTCGTCTTTCAACGAGGACAGGCATCGGGCAAACACTGACTCACCAATCAGTGTGACGGGTACGCCATAGTCCAGGGCCGCTATGGCTGTCCATTTGCCCGTCCCTTTCTAGTGAGTATTATATGTGTAAATAATCAAAATAAAAATTAATAATAAAGTTTGATTAGTGTATATGTCTAATAGGAGGTGTGGGCGCAATACCTGTCCGGCTGAGTCCCGGATTTTAGTGACCAGTGGTTCGCCATCCGAGTCCTTATACCGCAATATATCGGCAGTGATTTCGATGAGGAATGAGTCCAATTCGGATCGGTTCCAGTCGACAAAGATGTCGGCCATTTCATCGTGAGTGAGGCCCAGTGTGTCCCGGAGCAGGTGGTAGGCCTCGCAGATCAACTGCATGTCGCCGTACTCTATGCCGTTGTGAACCATTTTGACGTAATGGCCGGCACCGCCGTCGCCCACCCAATCGCAACAGGGCTCGCCATCAGCCTTGGCCGCTATGGTCTGAAATATGTCCTTGATGTGTGGCCTGGAATTGATTGGTTTTGTATTATACTTCAACATTTATACCGTCTAAATAAGGTAAATTGGTCTAAAAATATACTGTAGAATAAAAGTAATGCATTTTTCACCAATTTACTAATTAAAATAATTATTAAAAATTTTATTTATAAACTAAACTACAATTTAGTTAATCAATCGCTTTCATTTTAAAATAATGATGATCATTATCGCGATTATAGCTCAAATTTAACTATTCTCCATATTTAGAGTTTATCACAGTAAATTTTATGCGTTAACTCTATGGGACTAACGCTAAGTTTATGGGTTAAATATATTCTACTCGCATTACCCGAATTGTGTTTAAAGAGTAGAAGTGCTTTCAATTCTTGTTTATACACATACCAGGCCTCGGGATGGCCGCCGGGCATCAGTGACGGCCCAAATCGGGCGCCTTCTTCACCGCCACTCACACCCGACCCGACAAACAACAGGCCCTTAGCCTGGAGCTCATCGCACCGGCGCTGTGTGTCCGTGTACTCCGAGTTACCGCCATCGATGATAATATCACCCGGGTCCAAATGGGGCACCAATTGCCCAATGAAATCATCTACAGCTGACCCGGCTTTAACTAGTAGTATAATGCGCCTGGGTGATTTTAGTTTGCCCACCATTTCGGCTATGCTATGCGCGCCGACCACTGATTTGCCCTTAGCTTCGTTGGCCAGGAATTGGTCAACCTTTTCGGTGGTACGATTGTAGGCACACACCTTGGTGAATTATTAATTGTGATTTTAATTAGTATTGTGAATGTTTTTTTTAAAAATAAGTAGCTAGATTGTTACCGTGAATCCATTATCAGCCATATTAAGTATGAGATTCTGGCCCATAACGGCCAGTCCTATCAGCGCTATGTCTGCCTCGGCCCTGAATGAATAGTTAAAATACATAAGGTGAATTAATTATTTGATTTACATGGTAAACATTATGAAATTATTATTTCATTTCATTATTCCTAATAATTTATTTGTATTAAACAATGGTTTTTAGTTTCAATGTTACAATATTGGTATAAGTTTTTTAATTATATTGTGTTTGCTTTAGTAAGAAAAGTGTTAATTTGTTATAATTATAATACAATTTACTTTTAATTAAATAATGACATATAATTATATAGTATTATGTGGAAAGTTTTTTTTCATTAGTAAATCTTTACACTATTCATAAAGTTTTAGTTTTAAAAAATTTTATTGACGGGAAATGTTATGTCGAAACAGATTTTTACCATGAATTTTGTTTGTCGCTTATTATGTGTGTGTTTTTACAAAGTTGTTATAACATATGATAATTGATTCAACAATATAATTTTATTATCTTATAAATAAAAAAGGGTGAATTTAGGTTAACACAAATCAATGCACAAATAAATACATATTCAATGCAATTAAAAGTTTTAGTTAATTAAGTGTTAGTTTTTTAATTGAGAATTAATATTAATAAAAAAATTTTAATTTGAGCTTTTTAATTTAACTTAATTTTTAATTAAGCAGACATGATCTAATTTGATCAAGTACATGGTTAATTGCTCAGACAATTAATAAACCAAGGGCAATTGGATAATTATGTCACAGTCTAATGATATTTTGTAAATCACACATAGGTGAATTATAATTTAAACTTCGTATTGACCTAGTTTATTTTATTTACTGTATGTTCTTGGTAATATTTAAAAAATATATATAAGGTAAAATATTTGTAATTTCTAGAATTATAATATTAAAATAGTTGTTATAACAGTTGTAATAAATGACAAACAAACTAGAATAATTTTATTTTGATTCAGGTGAAATAAACCATCTAAAGAACGTCAGCTATGCATATTAATTAGATACAGTCTGACCCCGGTTTTGACATTCGCGATTTTGACAGACCGCGATTTTGACAGACCGCGATTTTGACAGACCGCGATTTTGACATGTGTTTTTGCTAGCACCGCTGAGCCATATTAGTACTGTTAATGTACTCGATTTTAACAGATTTCGATTTTAACACATATTTTTTACAGCACCGATGACATGTCAAAACCGGGGATCAGACTGTATTTAAATAATATTCCAGAAAATTCGATGGAATTTTAAAAATAATAATAAAAATAAAAGAAATTAAAACTTATTTTCCTTTTATTTTTTATTGACATTAAATTTTCAATATATAAAAACTACAATAGATTTGCATTTATATAAAACTTATTATAATAAAATTATAAATAGAATTACAAAAATCAATATTTTATGTATTATTATAACTTATAATTTATAAAACATTTATTTTTGTTATATAAATGAACATAATAAGAATACAATTATAATGCATATACTATAAAGGTAATTTGATTTAATACTTACATTGTGTAAAATATTCAAAACTAATTGCAATGATAAATATTAGTTAATAAATAGCAAAAACAAATTAAAACAGTATAAATTTTTATAAACTAATTACAACTATTAATTTAATATTTATAAGTATAAAATACTTTTAAAAAATACACTATACGTGAATATAATGTACTTTTATTATTAAACACCTCAAACTTTTTAAAACACAACTTGTGTACAGTAATGACAGTTGAGGACTGGTGTGTATGTCAGTCAAAGTCTGTGTTCACGCATTCAATAGTGAATAAAACAAAATAAAAACTTATCCATAGATATAACACAGACTCACTAACACTCGCTCAGACACACTCTCACACACACTCCCAGTCTGTATGGTATGGTATGGGAAATGGTATGACATAATACATGAGCACATCAGACCCACCGGTGAATGAAAAAATCACGCGATTATTATTATAGTGAACACACTGTATAGTGCACTGCTATATATGCATGTATTTTAAGTACAGTAGGACTCTATTGATTGGAAACCGGTTTTCTAGTGATTTTTATACGTTTTAATTGTAATATTTTTTCCATGAATTTTGCCATGATAATTTACGATTGTTTTAGGACTCTCACCATAAAATCTAAAATATTATTATTTGTAAAATATGCCCTTAGGAAAAACTCCACAATCATAAAGTATGAGTCATAATTGAGTTTGCCGGTGTTCATTATACATTGGACTGACTGTACATACAGTATATGTCAATATAATTACTGTACATTCGGACTATTTATGCACTAAAACGAGTGCAATATTTAAATAGTAATGCACTTTAAATCTTGGGAACTACTTTATGAGGTTAGGCATGCAATTTAATTGAAATATTTCAGTGCTATAAAGGTAATTTTGTTTGGATATGATTTATTTTAAATATGCTAAAGTTATTTTATTTTGCTAAACGAATATTAATTGTGATAAAATAGCAGAAAGTTTAATTATAATCTTATATTTATGATAGAAAGAATTTGCTCGTTTATCTCATTATTATTGAGCATGTCCAAAATCAACTACATATTTACACGAGGGCACATGGTGCAAATGTACCAATTCCATCAAGATATAAACTTATTTTTACATTTATAACTTTTAAATAAGCTACATAATTAAAATTTATACATTAATCATGGATTGTGATTTATAATCATGTTAGTTATGATAAAATAAAAAACAAAAGCTCATTTAATAAATGATTAAACATGTTGCATTGTTCGCATGAAATATATACATATATCGATAACTTATCACTTATAACGATATCAAATTGTATGACTAAATTCAATTAAATTTATCCCCGCAACTAACCTGAATCACCTTGGTATTAAATAATACTTATTTTATTAAACTAAATAATTTATTTTTAATTTTACTAGTTTACAAATACATACATAAATTAATTTATTTAAAAAATAAACTACTAATATAAGTGGATAAACATTAGTATCAGTATAAGTGGATAAAATTCAGTTCATTTAAACAAACAAACTAGCATAATTTAATCGAGTTAATTAATTATTTACTAAACCTAACATTAAATTAATACAACTAGCACAGTTATCGCAGTGTGCTAGGGAAGGGGGCTCAGAGGGGGCTCACGAATCTAAATATTAAATTAACGGCACGTTGTTTACGAACAGGCCATCAGCAACAGTACATCACAAGTTGTGAATCACACAAACACAACACAACACACACAGCAGTGCTGTGACAGCACAGCGTAGACACACAGCGCATGCGTACAGCCATAGGGACACTCAATGGGAGAGACATTTCTCCATCACTTGTAAACACAACACAACACTTGTATTGACTGTTTTTCACTCGCCATTAACTTCACTGATAGTAATTCACTCACGAGTTGTGGTAATCTTCACTAACACTGCACACGTGGTTATGAGATAATGGCCGACAGCGAAGCGAAAGGTAACCAATATCTGGCCGACGCCCAGAAGCGGCTCAAGTCGTCGCAGGGCTTCTTCGGCGGTCTACTCGGGTAAGTGTTGCGCCACTTCTGGCGATTGGCCACCGATTACGGGATCACCGGTAGACCCGATAGTGATTGGTGGCCACCAGTGGTGGTGGTGTTGGTTGTTATGGCAACTAATTATCATCACCACTGCCACCATCGCACCATTGTATACGTGTAATGATAATAATGTGTTTGTATTTGTGTCCATCACGTGTAGGGGCGGCTCACGACAGGACGAGGCGGTGGAGCTGTACGTACGGGCGGCCAACTGTTTCAAGATGGCCAAGAAGTGGAACGGTAGGGCAAACTCACCCATACCTCTCATTATTACCATCAGTGTCTTTGTTATGCATCCGCGTGTGTCTGTGTGATGACCATTACACTTACCACTTTCAATTACCGCCCCCACCACCACCTTCTTGTCCCCCTCCCCCGCAAGCGCTACTATACTTTGTGGCGGCGGCGGCACTGGCCGTGTAGTCCAGGACTTACTTATGGGGCGGCTCCCACTGGTCACCGCACAGACACACGCAGACACTAACCATACCATTGAATTGCACGCTAACTAATAATCCGTTTACTCCATCCATCCATTTATGTTCACCCCATTGGTCGTCACCACTGGAACCGTTAACCACTACCACCGCTATTATCATCGGACCATTGGAACCGTTGACACCACTACTAATGACAGCCGCGGGTAACGCGTTCTGCGAGGCGGCTGTGCTGCACCTGAAGGCGGGCAACAAACACGACGCGGGCACCGGCTATGTGGACGCCGGCAACTGCTATAAGAAGGCCGACCCCCAGGAGGCGATCAATTGCATAACGAAAGCGATCGAGATCTACACGGATATGGGCCGCTTCACCATCGCCGCCAAACACCACATGACTGTGGCCGAGATCTACGAGACCGAGTGCGTCGACATTGGCAAAGCGATGACTCATTACGAACAGGCGGCCGACTATTATAAGGGCGAAGAGAGTAATACGAGTGCCAATAGGTGCTTGCTCATTGTGGCCCGCTATTCGGCACAGTTGGAACAGTACCAGAAGGTTGGTTAAGGTGTTTTTTAGGGGGTGGGTGTGGTGGTGGTGCCCCTTTATGTGTGGGTTTAGGTTTTGTGGGTGTGATTATGTCCACTGGTTTATGGGTTTAGTGTTTAGCTGTAGGTCTGGTTTTGTAGTTTATGATGATTAGGTTTCTCTTGTAGTCTCTCTCTCTCTCTCTCTCTTCGTACTTCTTGATGGCCAACTCGGCGTTCAGCTTATCGATGCACAGGT